AAGAAAACGCATATATATATATATATATATATAAAATCATTGTTGTGCTACCATGGTGCTTCACAACACCATTCTTGTCCTTCATATTCAACTGGAACCAAACAAATCTGTTCAGTTCTACTGAGAACCATTTTCCTCTGGTGACTCCTTCCAGCTCCATGTGCGGCCAACAGCATGTGGTCGACTGACATTTACTTTACGTTCAGTTCTGCAGAAACACAACAGAGCAAGTGTCTCAGTTCTGAAAGAAATACAATAAAATTCAAAAGCATTTTTCTGTTTACTGATTCAAAGCATTTTGAGAGAAAAAAGAGGAAGCTTATCTTTCTGGGTAAATCTAAAACTTTTTTTTGTTTTTTTTACACAAACAAAAACAAAAAAACAACAAGCAGTACTGTACGCTGATGTCGTCTGTAGCTGGTGGATTTGAATAGTGGATGTTTGTCATTTTCGTGAAGTTTGTTTTTCTGGACTGGAAAAGAACAGGGATTAAAAGTAAACCTGAATGTTTTTAGTGCAAGTTATTTAAGTCAAGATTCTTTATTTGTCATACACATCACATGTGGTACATGTGGTGGAACGAAATTGTGTACACAGGGTCCCAGTTACATCCAACAAAGTATTAAAATGTAAACGAAAAACAGTAATAAGATCGAAGATATGAACTAAGAAAAACGTTAAATAAAAACACGCTAAGCACTAGTAGCATAAAAACTATACGCCGAACAGCAGCACGAACATGAACAATTGGGTAGGAGTGTAAAAGAACAGAGGTAGGTTTTGTGTTTTGCTTTGGCGATGCAGAGTGACAGATCCTGGTGAGTGGAGGAAGCAATTTTATCCACCACCAGATGCAATGGCGGAGCCAGGGGGTGATCATTGGTGGCCTTGGCCACCATAGAATAAACTTTCAATCACCACAATCCTTTAAGGAAACTATACTTGTAAGCAATATAAAAACTAGAAAGCATAGTGGTGGGCACAGCTAACCAAAAAGTTAGCTTCGCTAACCACTAATTCGCAAACTAAAAAATTTACTTTGTGAACGTTATAGTGCTAAACAGATTTTGTTTTTTAAATTACTGGAAGCTAACGCTACAGCACTAACTTTTATCATACACTGCTTTCGCTGACACTGTAAGACTGACTGTAATGTGACAACGTTGTAAGTGAACACAACTCAAAATAGTTCAGAAATCACAAGTAAAGCATTCATGTCCCGTTCAGAGGTGAGCTTTCAGAAATTAATCCGGTCCATCAGAACCAAAGAGGCGGAGCATCACTCTGCTGTGCTGAAGCAGAGTGATGCTTCCATAGTCGGACGTCTCCCTGAATTAAATCACTTTAGCGATTTTTTTTGTGGTTAACTAGTTTTATAAACTAACTACAAAGTCGCTCAGTGTCATCATCAATATTGTCTCAGTAATAAATCTGGTTGTATTAAATTAAAGATGTATGAAAAGTATGAGAGAGTCACGTCCCAGAGACAGTGTGAGCATTGCAAAGCATGCTGGGTAGGAATTATGTGAGCAATGTTTCTGGGTGTTTACAATGTTTCTGAGTGTGAAAATGTTTTTGTTTTTTTTGTTATTTTCCTGTTCTGGTTTGATTTGGTTTCATTTATGCTGAGGTTTGTTATTGGCTGTAAATTGACACCATGACACCAGAGACTGTTTGTGGTAGATATGAGGGGGAAAAAGCACTGCAGGTGGTGACATCACCAGGTGATGCTTAACTTTGTTTAGGTCTGCATAGTATAGCTCCGTGTAAATCATAATCCTTCATAATTTTAGTGAGAACATATTTTTTTTATTAATTACATTTGAATTTGCCAGATAAAAATTTTAGCAGGAACTACCACATAATTCCACTAAAATTCCCACTCCGCTCAACAACTGGGGACAACAAGCACTGTACGGAAAGCAAAAGGTTTTTTTTTTAAGAGTCGTTTCTTTCCTGACTGAATAGCCGACCTGAACAGTTTAAGGGGATAAAGAGGGTTTACTCAGGTTTATTCCCAGCTTTACACCTCTCATTCTTCTGAATGTTTCCACTCAAACCTTAGCCAAATACCATTTCACCTCCTACACTTAACCTCCTTTTAGTTTTTTAAATATGCTGGAGTCGTAAAAATATTTCTTCATGAAATAGAATGCCCTTTCAAGAAGTCTTTACCTGAAAACAACTTCAGATTTTCAAGGTTTTTTTACGGTCACAACAACCACTGTTAATTAGTTTTGTATATTACGTTTGGTGTTTGATCCCGAAGTATATAAAGTTTGTTGGTGATTGCTAATTAGTTACTCACAATATATGGACCTATCAACACAGCATCTGTTCACGTAAAAGAATTTTAGGAACAACTGATGGCGTCTTCTTAAAGGAATGTCCTGTTTCAGTTGAATATTTAACCACTTCCTCCTGTAGCTTTAATTAAAGGGCCTTTAGGTAATGACACGGTCAGGTTTCTGCATTGTTCACAAGGTTAGTAATGCTATAATTAGTTCTCTATCTTTAGAGAGTTTAAAAAAAAACTAGAGAAAAAACAATAACCAAGTGACAGAATTGTTTGCTGGGAAAAAAAGGTGAACTGATGTCTGCCAGTTGTTGTTTTCGATTGGGTACAGATGCTCTCTTAACATCACCCAAAGTGGTATTAAAGTTTAATATTGTGATAGTCATATTAATTACAATAAACCCGCATGTTCCTCACTTTTCACTTTCTCTTTTGTTATCACTATCATCTTAAACCACATGTGGGCACTGTGACAATTTATTTACAGTCTGATGGATTGACCTATTTTTATCATGCAGAACAGGAATGAATGCTACTTTAAATATAAAAGTCTATGATTTGTTGTAGGATGAAGCAGTTCCTCATAATATATAATAATAATAAAAATAATAATATTAAGAACAAACAATATTAGTAATATTGATATTGCGATGACAATAAATTAGCAATACAGTAGTCCCTTGCTGCTTTGCGGTTCGTTTATCGCAGACTCACTCTATCGCGGTTTTTCAAAATAAAATTGGAGATGACACACAAATGGCTGATTGATGGATGAGCCGCACGATCGGCATGAAATTTGTATTTAAAATAATTTATTTTAAATTATTTAGCACCTGCTGCACCTTTGTGCAGCCCAGAGCTGCAGGATAAGCTTCCTGCTGCAGCTGATCAGCTGTTCACCATGCAGAGTGGAGAAGTGGGCGTGGCCAAGAACGCTTGCAGGTGGCTGAGAGCAGCAGAGGCAGGGAGCTGAAATCATGACATTTTGTGCTCTTTTAGAGTGTTTAGAAACATTGTTTAGAATATTGCAAGAGTGTGGGAAGGGTTTAAAATGCCATATATATATATATATATATATATATATATATATATATATATATACTAAAATAAACTACTTACTACTTGTACTACTATTCCTACTTCATGGTTTTTCACTTATCGCGGGTCTTCAGGGTACAGATCCCCTGCGATAAACGAGGGACTACTGTATATTGTGCAAAGCTTTAATGTGCTTTAATGCAATGACCAAAACGACAGGCTGATTTAGTTATTTGTTGTGGGATTTGCTCTTAGATCCACTGACAGACGGACTCACAGTGTCTAATGATCAATGCAAAGACCAGAGTTAGTTTTGTCTTTTATCACCCAGTCCTACTAAGCATTATTGCAAGTATCAAAAATATTGGACATTTCCCCAAATCTCACCTCTTTTTTCACATTTGTCAATACTGATGAAAGTGTAGAGGGTGATGATGCACTGTTATAAAAAAAGAGAAAAAACATGTTAACACATGAAAACAATAAGTAACAACAAACACAAACTTAATTGAATAAAAGTCCCACATTCTTAATTTACAGCCTTGCGCTGATGCCCATCCCCGACCTACAGCAGGCTTCTGAACCCAGCTCAGACGTGCAAGTCGCAAAAGAGCAGATGTATCCGTTTCCTCATAATGGAGGCTTCACAGCATCACCAGTAAAAACCAGCGTCAGATGAGTGAAAATCAAAGAGGCCAAGTGTAAGGGGAACATTTACAATGCACATAAAACAAACCAGTGAGGATGTGGGGGAGTGTTACAGAATTCACACACACACACACACACACACACACACACACACACACACACACACACACACACACACACAAACACACACACACACACACACACACACACACACACACACACACACACACTACAAGACAGATCACTCTGGTAAAAAAAAAACACTGTTCACCCTAAACTGAACCTAATTTGATCTTTTACGCAAATTTAAGCTTAAAATTGTCAATCTGGACCCGGAGAGACCTCATTCTGGTCTCCAGAGTCACGGAATATCACCAGAGGTTGACGTGAAATCAGGTTTAAAGGAACATCGGGACATAAAAACAACACAAACACACATGGTTTTATCGCATGGGAGTTTAAGTAAAGATGGACTTTATGTCCTAATAAACAACCATCAGCACGCAAAATCCTCCTCACATACAGCAGTTTGCATTTATTCACTTAGGTGACTTCAAATGAAATCCAAGAACTGCTGATAGATATAATAAACTCTGAAAATTATTTTTCACGCTCGCATGGTGTTCAGTTAATATTTATTGAGCCATTGAAAAAAACACACCCACACATGCATCTGATTAGTATAGTGGGATGGAGAGGAAAACATCAAATGGAGCAGAGTTATTGAGAAGTTCTTACCTGCCAACTTGTCTGGAGGCATTCTCAAAAAACTTGGCCTTTGATGCAACGCTGCGAAAAACAAACAATAAATAAAAGTGACATGTTGGTTTTACGCTTATGAACAAGCTAGATGAAAATGTAAAACTCTGCAAGCAGTTACTGCCAGTAAAAAAAACAAAAAAAAACAAAACACTAAGTTTTATTGTTCTATTTGTAAAAATGTAGATTTTGGACATTTTTAATCATTCTTGACGTAACAAATATCTTTGAAAACAGTTTTCTTGTTAAAACTTGTGTTTCTGAAGGTTACATATCATTTTGAAAAATACAACCTGTAATATCTAAACATTAAGCTATGTTGTTGTTGTTGTTGTTTTTTTACTTATTGCCAACATAGATATTTAAGTTAATATGCATTTACTAGTTTAACAAATCAGATTATGATGCTTTTAAGAAATCTGCTGTTATGCCATGTTTCAAATTTGTTGCAGTTATAATAATTTCTTCTTTTAAATGGAACAAAAAAGAAACAGGTGGGTACTGAAATGTTCTCTAAATCTAGCATTAGCAGACCCAACATGGAGTTTAGTGTGAACACGTACTAAGACGTGGGCGAGCCCTCACTGCTGGCTGCAACGGCGAGCTTTTGGGGAGTGGGGCATCTGTTGGGGGGTTCAGGAGGCCTGACTGGGGGTCGACAAATGGGATGTTTGTCTGCCGTCTTTGTTTTGGTCAGACCATTAGAATTTCCTGAAAGACAAAAAAGCAAGCGTTTATACATGATAAATGGACTGTACTTATATAGCACCTTTCTATCTTATCAAGATACTCAAAGCGCTTTACACTACAATCTGTGCCTCATTGACCAGCACTCTACTAGATCTATACAAAGAATAATCAGAGCTTTATCACATTCATACACTGATGGGACACACATCAGAGGCAATGAGATCTTGCTTTGTGTCTTGTCAGTGTCTCGCCCAAGGACACTTCAGCATGTGACTGCTGGTGGAATTGAACCCCCAACTCTCCCACTGGAGGACGACTGCTCTAACCACTCAGTCACAGCTACCCATAATACAGTACTCCCTCAATACTTCCGAGGTTCAGCTTTCGTGGACTCACTCTTTCGCGGGTTTTCATTATAAGATTGTACATGACACAGGATTGGCTGATTGATGAAAGGCGACCAACCAGAACATTGTGCTGAGGGGTGGACTGGCCATTGGGAGCACTGGGACATTTTCCGGTGGCCTGGCTCGCTCAGTGATCACTGAGGGGCCCCCTCCTTTCTCTTTCTGAGGCTGTCTGTCTCAGCAGAGCAGACACACAACAGGCAGGTGCACAACCTGTTGTGTGTCTGCTCTGCTGAGACAGACAGCCTCAGAAATAGAGGGGGGGGGGGGGGCTGTCTTTTCCCATCACTGCTATGGAAGCTTCAGTGAGGTGGATACAGTGAGCGGCATGGCTTGTTTATTTAAAATAACCAAGCGTGACCCAAACCGAGCCTTTAGTCCCCGTCGGCAATCACTGAGCGGGCCAGGCCACCGGGACATTCTGGTGCTCTTGATGGTCAGTCCGCCCCAGTGATTGGCTCAGTAATCGTAGCATCAGTCTGTCTGCTCTCTTTCACTGTGCTCTTTTAAAGCGTTTAGAGAGTTTAGACCATTGTTAAGAATATTGCAAGAGTGTGGGAAGGGTTTATAAGCCTTAAAATATATATACAGTAGTCCCTCGTTTACTGCGTGTATTAGGGACCACACTCCCCCACGATAAGTGAAAAACCGCGAAGTAGGATTAGTAATACAAGTAGTAGTAGTAGTAGTAGTAGTAAGTACTAGTTTATTTTAGTATTTATATATATATAAACTCCAGAGCTAGCTGACCTCATGCACAGGAGAGATCATCTTTGGGCTGCAGCGAGAAAATCTGGCTCAGACACTGACTGGTTGAGTTTCCGACAGATGAGGAATAAATGTACAACTTCTGTCAAAGCAGCAAAACGCAACTATTTCTTATCTCAGATTTCCAAAAATCTAAATGACCCTAACAGATTCTGGAAAACAATTAAATCTCTCTCAGGCAGCCCCCAATCATCTGACCTCCCATCACAACTTCTCGTTAACTCTGCTCCTGTGTCAAATAAGCACGAGATCCTGAACTGTTTCAACAAACATTTTGTTGCTTCTGGTTCTTTATTTGACACAGTAACTAATGGAAAATCAGCCACTTCACTTAATAACCAAACTTCTACAAATCAAATCCCTCCTACAAGTCAATCCTCAGTTAATCACACCTTCTCTTTTTCTCCATTCTCAGTCAGTGAGGTCAATAAACTGTTAAAAGATCTTGATCCTAAAAAATCTGCAGGTCCAGATGAACTTCCACCTTATTTCTTAAGGCTGGCTGCTCATATCATCACAGTCCCTGTGACCCACATCTTCAATCTCTCCATAAGACAAAACTCCATCCCAGACACTTGGAAAACAGCCTTTGTTCTTCCTTTGCTGAAGGGAGGTGACCCCACATCACTGAACAACTATCGACCAATCTCTAAACTCTGCATTTTAGCCAAGGTTCTAGAAAAACTGATAAACTCTCAAATCAAAAATTACCTGGACTCATTTAACATCTTACCTCCACATCAATCTGGTTTCAGGAAACAACACAGCACAACCACTGCTTCACTGAAGGTTCTTAATGACGTTGTTGAAGCACTGGATGCTAAAGATTATTGTGCTGCACTTTTCTTAGACCTGTCTAAAGCTTTTGACACTGTGGATCATAACATCTTGTGTCATAAACTCTCAGAAATTGGTTTCTCAGATCACACCATTGGTTGGTTCTCTAACTATCTTTCAGACCGGAGGCAATGTGTTCAACATAATGGTACTTCCTCCAGTTATTTAACAGTCAACAATGGTGTACCACAAGGCTCAGTCTTAGGACCCACCCTCTTTACAATCTACATACATAATGTAGGTAAAAACATCCCTAATGCATCCATACATTTCTATGCTGACGACACAGTTGTTTATTGTCGAGCTAAAACAGTTGCTAAGGCTTTCCAGCTTCTGAAATCTGCATTCAACATCATCCAGACTGATTTGTTTCACCTCAAACTTGTCCTAAATGCCGAAAAAACCAAAGGGATGCTTTTTTCAAATAGGAAGTTGGTCCCAGCAGTTCTTCCTCCGATTTTATCCTCAAATGGTGTCCCCATTGAGTTTGTTGATTTCTATAAATATTTGGGTATCTTGGTCGACTCACATCTCTCTTTTAAGCTTCATGTGGAAAACTTGGTAAAGAAACTGAAAGTTAAACTGGGTTTCTTTTTCAGAAACAGATCCTGTCTAACCCTGAATGCTAGAAAACGCCTTGTATCTGTGACTTTCCTTCCCTCAATTGATTTTGGTGACATTATTTACATGAACGCTCCTACAAGAACCCTGCAGATGTTGGATGCTGTCTATCATGGTGCACTAAGATTCATAACTGGCTGTGATTATCGTACCCACCACTGCACCCTGTATTCATTGGTTAACTGGACATCATTAACTTCACGCAGACTCTCTCACTGGTACATTTTCATCTTTAAATCACTTCTTGGTCTGCTGCCTTCATACATCTCCTCCTACATGTCTCTGCGTGAGTGCAGCTACGGAGTGCGCTCTCAGGACATTATTACCTGCAGTGTTCCCTCAGTGAGGACTGAACTAGGCAAAAGGGCCTTCTCCTACTCCGCTCCTGTCTACTGGAATATCTTACAAAAAGATTTGAAGCTCTCGACCTTGACCTCTCTAAGTGGCTTTAAGAATCTGTTGGACTCCTGGCAGGGACCAATGCAGACATGTTCCTGTTTTTAGTTTTATACATTTGTCTTGGAATCTAGCTGTTTTTTTTGTTTTGTTACCTTTTTCCTTTTAGCCATCCTATTTGTTAAAAAAAAAAAAAAAAAAAAAAAAAAAAAAAACTGTAGTATGAGTTTTTATAACTGCTTATTGTTGTTGCTGTTGTCCATTGTTGTCATCTTTCTTTGTTGAAATCAGGTCTCTCTTGTAAATGAGTCCTCGAGGCTCAATGGGATTTACCTGTATAAATAAAGGTTGATTGATAAAGGCATTTTAAACCCTTTCCACACACTCTTGCAATGTTCCTAGCAATTTTCTAAACTCTAAACGCTCTAAAAGAGAACAGCATGTCGTGATCTCTGCTCTCTGCCCCGCTCACTTCTCTACTTCTCCGCTGCAATAACACTCGTGCTCATCACTCCCAGTCTCCCTCCTTCTGTGGAAAAGAATTTAAATAATGTACTGTAATAGTTTAAGTAAGCAAACCATACTGCACAAGAAGCTTTATTTTAAATTATTAAGCGCGACCGGAACAGTCTTCAGTCCCACTCGGCGAACGGCCAGGCCACCGGAAAGCATCCTGATGCTCCGAATGGACTGTTCACCCCAAACCAGCTGCAGTAGGAGCTAAATTGTTTAAAATAATTTATTTTAAATAATTTTGGACCTGTGATTGTGCTTTTATTTATTTATTTATTTATTTGTGCGCTGCTCTTGTCTGATGCCTCATGCCTGAAGACGTCTGCTCTGCCTTCAGGCCACAGATTCCAGAAAACCCTCGGATAAGTTTTGCTTTTCCTGCCTCTGTGTGAATGACCCACGCCTGTTTGACCACAAACTCAGACCCTGAACTCTGAGTTGAGCTCTCAGAACCAAGCTCCACATTCTGAGTTTTCCAGACTTTCTCGTATCACTGATCCATCCGTCCAAACCTCCGTTCCCTCTGATGTCATTGCAGCTTCGGATTCTCCACCGGTGATCGAGTTCTACAGAGTGAAAACTTTCTCCTCCTGATAAAACTTTAAATAAATGTTTTTGTTCACTTTTGTTAACAAAAATACACTCTCCAGTTCCTCATGGGGGATCCCAAGGCCAATTCTGGGTCTGCCATGCATCTACCCCCAATGGGGTGTGCCTGAAAATCCTCCATACCTGAAAATCCTCCATGGAGGCATCCTTATCCGACGACCAAACCACCTCAGCTGACTCTTTTCAATGCAGAGGAGCAGTTCTACTCAGAGCTCCTCACCCTCTCTCACTAAGGCTGAGCCTGGCCACCCTCAGGAGGAAACTGGTTTCATCTGCTTCGTATCTGAGATCTTGATCTTTCGATCATGGTCACAGGTGAGGGTTGAAATGTAGACAAACCAGTAAATCAAAAGCGTTGCCTTTCAACTCAGCTCCGCCTTCACCTCAACAGACCAGAGCAATCCCCTCATTACTGCAGATGAGGCCCTAATCATGCACAGGTGTCAAACTCCAGGCCTCGAGGGCCAGAGTCCTGCAACTTTTAGATGTGTCTCTGATGCCACACAGCTGAATCAAATGAGGTAATTAGCAGGACTTTGGAGAACTTGACTGCTCTAAGAAGCTAATTCAGTCATATAATTCAGGTGTTTTGGACCAGTGGAACATCTAAAAGTCGCAGGACACTGGCCCTCGAGGCCTGGAGTTTGACACCCTGCGTTGATCTATCTCTACTCTATCTACCAACACTTGTGAACAAGACTCCAAGATAACTGAAGTTCAGTGCTTCACAGCAGAGACTAAAGCTGCAAAAAAAGCAGGAATGCTTGGACATTTCCAGCTTACACAGACAGTTTGATTGATAGACAAGCTGTCAGCAAGAAAGTTCAAGTACCAGTAGGTCCATTTCTACAAGCATCTGTATTCAGAGGTTGATATTTCCAGGTTCCAAGTTGGACAAATCAACAAGAAAGTCAGAAATTCCTGACCATACCTAAACTCAATAACCAATACGGCCACTCGGGGCATGAAAAATTATGTTAGCTGCAGTAATAAACAGTCTTTATCTCATCATATTTGTTGCACACATAGAAATGTTTAATGACTTTTAGTGAACATATTGTTTTAGTGTTTAAATACATAAAATGCAGACGAGCACATTAGCATGTTTTGCTAATGATAGTTAGCCTGATCACTGAACACATTAGCAAAGCCTTCTGGTTTCCCGACACAGTAAAGTTGAATGTGAGGTCATTCTGAGTTTTGACCTCTGAGATAAATGAAATGCAGTGTTGTGCCAATAAATGTTACAAAAATTAGTTGAAAACGTGACTTTAACTCTGTGAACGAGTCCTACTGCTACACCAGTGGTCCAGTGTCCATGAGCCATTTGTGTGTAGTAATAAAACTTAAAATATTTTATGGCTGGAATTTTGTACAAAAATAGGAACCACCCTATTAGTGGACTTAAATGACACTGGGGTTTTAAATAAGGTTTTTGGTGCTGCTATAATCAGCTCATTTAGGTCTTGGTAAGTGTAATTTATGCATGAAAGGCTCCAAGAGTCCACAGCATCACAAAGCAAAAGGAACCACCAAGAATGCAGCACAATAAAGACCAAAGAGCTTTCCAACAATGACAGAGACAGAACTGGATTATAAGAAAAAAATACTATATTTATACTATACTTTTACGACTGAACAACAAACCTGCCAATAAACAGCGGAGCACCAAAACTCAAGAAGAAGCACGCAGTAAAGGGATTAATCAAAGAGCTAACAAGAAAACTAGGCTGAATGAGCTGGAAAGCAATGATTAAAGTGTCTGTTCAAAGAATAAATTTAAACTTTACACTCCACAATGTTGGCTTTTATGTAAAATTTAAAAAAAAAAGTCTAAACTGGCCTTCTTTAAACTGCCTTTATGTTATTAAATTAAAAAAACGAACCCAAGCTTCTTACAGACTTTGCAAGTAAACCTTAATGTTTTGGTGCAAGATATTCAAGGTCAAGCTCTCTTTATTGTCATTTGCACCACATGTGCAGTTACATCCAACAAAAGTATAACTTGTAAAGAAAAATAGTAATAAGATTTAAGATATGAACTGATAAATACATTAAACTAAGAATATGCTAAGCACTCATAGAACAAAAATCAATACGCCCAACAACAGCAGCACGAACATGAGTCTGTGGGTCAAGTGGGTATGAATTAAACTATGTAGAAGAAAAAAGTTTTGTTGGGTTTTTTTTTTTTGGTCTGATGCAGTGCAGAGTGACAAATCTTGGAGAAGAGGGAGCAATTTTATCCATCACCGAGTGCAATGGTGGAGCAATCATTTGAGGACACTATACTTCTATTGGAAGTCAGCACGTCAATTATTTTTCAAGTTAGCCAGCTCACAAGACGGATGGATATGGCCATCTTGGATTTTGACGTGGCAATCCAATTTTTGACGGGAATCGTTTTTACAACTAGATGTAGCCACACACCAAAATGAAAGTTTGCATTTCACTTGTTTAAGTTAGCATGCATGGACATAATAAAGGTTGAATGAATGCAAAACAGCAGCATTATGGTGTGGTGAAGACTTCTACAGTAGAAAAATGATAGGACAGATAGAAATTACACAGAAAAATTCTACAATAATAGGTATTTTAGACTTTCAGAGACTTGAAACTTGAGAAGGTTCACTTTTCAGTACAACAACCCCGCAGCAATACTCGGGGACTTTAGCAGGAAACATTTAAATGTCTTGGAGTCAAAATCAAAGGCGTGTCTCAGTCCAGTTGACAAAATAACTGCACAACTGGAAGACCCGTCCAACTTAAAGGATCTCATTGGCTCGATGTACCAAAGTTATAAAAGCAAACTTTTGAGCATCGATTACAAAAAGGGACTCTACAAAGTACAGACAATAAACAATGACCTTCTTTCGCGATATTAAAGGAAACGTATAAAGGACTTTGGACAAGATGTATCGATTCCAACTAAAACAAAGCTTGTTTATAATGTATACATACATGGACAATTTCCTAATAATTAGGTTAACTAATAATGTTCTTAAATAACTAAATAAATGTGTTGAAGAAAATATTATTGGAACCACTATAACCAGAGCAGCAATAGAAATAAAATATAAAGTCCCTGGGAAAGACATTAAAGAGATTATATTGCTATAAATTATTACAAATGATAACTTTTCTTTCTATGTCTAAACTTCACTGTTGTGACTTTTTCAGAATCTAATAAAAACTGTATGACACCTTAAAAGCTGCATAAAATTATTATTTTTTTTAAATACCGTACTTGTACCTTCTCGGTTGGCTGGCGTGCCCTTTGGAGCTGGTTTTCGGCTCTGAAACGATGGTACCCTGCTCACATAGACCTCCGACTCGCCACTTGCTGCCAAGAAAGAATCTGGCTTTTGCCTCGTATCACTTGTCTTTTCCACATCGGCGCCTGCCTGCTTTTCCTGACGGTTGGTTGTTCTGGGAATAAACGCTTGCCTGGAAGGAGAGTCTCTTGGAACAAGAGGAGCACTGCTTACAGGTTTTGCTGGCCTTAGGGGTTTGGGGCATGCAGAGACATCCCCATCCATAATGGAGGTATCATTCTGTCCATCTGTTACAAAGAAACGGCATTAACAGTACTGCAACTTTATGGGAGGCGATGTTTTTTTTTATCTGTGATACACACCTGAGGCAAACTTCACTGTAAAATCTACTAAAATCCCAACAACTCACAGGATGAAACTGTTAAAACCTCAGTATACATTGGAATTACCGGTACATAAATATAGCCAAACTTCACCACAGAGGAAAGATTTGCTCATAAAGGAGACACATTCTTTAAACTCGAGGTAAGAAAGGTTAAACAAGTTATAAAAAGAGCAAGCTGCAAGTTAACCACTATAAAAGACAAAGTCAAATCCACCATTTTTTATGTAATTTCCTGCCCATTTGAACTGCTAGTGTGTTCAAACAAACACAAAATTACATGATTTATCCAGACACAATAAAAAATAAACAAAAACTAAAATAAATATGTAGAGTTGATTTCTTTATTTGTACTTTCAAAGAGAATATTTTAAAAATAATCAAATGTTTCTCTTCCTAAATTAAAGAACACAAAAAATAAATTTGGCTTAACAGGTTCCATGTTTAGTAAAATGTGAAAATAATTGGGATGAAAACAAGCACTTCAATAACTCCCATTTAGAAAATGTCAAAAAATGACCCTGCAGATTCACCATTTAAGTCCACAAGAAAAATAAAATTACAAAAAAAATATTATCTATTGTATAGTCAGCACAGGCAGGATGGAGCAACGATGACAACAATCAGGTCTACGGAGGCTGATAATTACTTTCTGTGTGCTGGAAGTGGTCGTGACTAAGAGCTTGATAAGCACGAGCGGGCCGCTTGGAGATGGTTATGGGCTGACGTTTGCGCGGGGTGATCCGCGGAGGAGGAACAGGAGGGGCGGTGCCATCCTCTGGCATGGAACTGAAGATCTGCAATCATTAAATAAAAGACTGTTTAGTTACTGCAGTTTCATTTAGAGGTTCTTAGAATGCAACTGAAGTGAAGGACAGAAAGGAAAACAAGAGTACAGCGTACAGTACATTATACGCCCGTCGACAAACTGTTATACAGCAATGGCTCAGACGAGCAAAGCCCAGGTATAACCTTTGACCTTGATTTTTGACCTTAGAGTTGGGGTGATTTTTTTTTTTAAGCGTACACGACAAATTGTCTAGGGGTGGTACAAATGTGTATTGAGTTTTGTTTAATTGTCTTGAGGGTATCCCAAGTTATGGCCTGGACGAGCAAAGACATTGTAGCAAAAATTGACCATGATTTGTGACCTTGACATTGGAGTTGCGGTGATGAAAATTGTATATGACACTCCATTTACTGACAACGTCAACGTTTTGTTAAATTGTTGTGAGCGGATCCGAAGATTTGGGCAGGACATTAGATAGTTTATGGATGGACAGAGACTATTCCATATGTCCGCCTTCGACGGTGGTATAAAGATCAAATACATCATGACATTTAATTCTTGTCGTTTAGTAACAAATACCACAATATTGACAAATAATCCCATGAAAAGGAGCTCTGTTCCATTAAAATCACATTATTACAAGGTATACAGCAAACAGTAACAGTGTCAATAAGCCCAGCTCTGTTCTAAAGGGATGTATCTTGATCAGTCAGTGTAACAATCCAAGGTTAAAAACTTTGTTTCTTTGCTTTCTGGGGTTATATACAAGAGTGTATCCTGATCTAAATTGTCATCTGCTTAGGAGAAACTTCAAGATGCCTGGAAACATTTGTATAAATAAGACAAGCCACTTCAAGTAACTACTGTAACAACATGTCATATGATGGGGGGGGGGAGCTAAAAAGTTCCTGTAGGATGAAAACAATAGTTTTGCTTCATCTGTACCTTATTGTAGTCCTCAATCATAATCTCAACCACAATGTTTTGAAACTTGATATCGAGCATGGCCGCCACAGTCTCCTCCTTCGCTCTCATCAACGTGGGTCCAAAGATGACGGCCATGTTTGAAGGGATCATCAGATTTTCATCGCTGTGGCTGCACACACTGTCAACAAAAGCCAGACTGGAATGAATAAAATGTAACTCAAGACAAAAAGAAAATATTCTGAGCTCATTTCAAAATGGTGCATGTGTGTGTGCCCTCGGAACAATAAAAACAACCAGCAAAGCAAACTTTACTCACGTTACTAAATGTGTAATAAGCATCTCCAACATTTCCCGGTTCTTCTCTGGTAGTTTGTAGATTAGTGAATGGATTTCACTCAGTCGAAAGTCCAGATTTTCAGATTCTATGACACAACAACAACACAAAGTCACTTCAAACAACCTACAACAATACAACATGATACCATAGGATACAATACCACAGGAAAGATACAGTACGATGTCATAGGAAACAATTCAATACCATAGAATTCAATACAATACCACGGATTACCATACAATAACATAGGAAACCGTACAATGCCATGGGAGACAATACAGTGATTCGCCTACCATTAGCCAAGGAGGGCGGCCCGCCCTGTCAACAGAACCAACTAACCAACTAGCTGCGCACAATACAGACTGGCTAGATAAAAAGCTACAGAAAAAAGCTCAGTAAACAACACAGATGTGCCCCCCCCCCCCCCCCCCCCCCCCACCCCACCCACCAGCCCAAAAAAAAACAACAAAAAAAAACACCAAAAAAAAACAGAAGGGCCCCCCCCCCCCCCCCCCCCACTCCATTGACAAATAAATAAATAAATCACGGAAGAGATGAGCACCCTGCCAAGGCAAGTAAACTAGGGGACACAATGTACTGTATATGATATGGAATATTATAGGATACTTTGTGATACCATAGAAGACAATACAATACCACATGTGACTATGTGATACCATAGGATACCACAGAATACACTGTGATACCATAGGTTACAATATGACACCGCAGGGGCAATAAGATACTGCAGGAGACCATATGATAGCATTCGGTACAATACAATACCTTAGGTGACAATACAATACTTGAGGTTACAATACAATAGGGTACAGTGCCATAGGAAATGATGTGATACCAAAGGATACAGTAGAATATAATATATACTTTATTGTATATGACATAGTTATTAAAAATCCATTTTGTTGTTGCCTCACCTGGCAGCAACAAACTAATACTGGTAAATTTAAATTTACAGCACATTACATTTTGTTAGTTCAACGCATTATTATTAATTATTATTATTATTATTATTTATCTGTAACTTTAAAAAGTGGGAGCTTTCTCAGAATGATAAGCATGTTACTGGTCAAAATGACACTGTTCATTAGTGATTTGTTGAACACAGAAATAAAACAAGATCAAAACCTCTAACATAAAAATGTGGTCATTTGTTGAAAAAAAAAAAAGTCATTCAAAAACATGCTTTAAGGTTTATAATGACTTCCTATGGGAAAGTTTCTATAATTCTAAACATTAAATTCTGAGATATGGCATGAGCATGAAAGGTTTATTGAGTCAGACAGATTTGTATTAAATCTGACACCTGTTGGTGTTTTTTTGATTCTGCTGTTAAAATGCAGCCTAAGAAGTCCTCAAAGTGAAATAAACCCATGGCTTACAGAGAACAACCAGAACCATTTCATCAAAATGCACAAATGTTTTGTTTCTATTTACTCCTCTTGTTAGTCTCTCCCGTCCTTTTCACTGTTTCTGAACCGTAACTTTTTTTTTTTTACATAATGCTACTCAAGCCGACAACTCGACTACTTTTCGTTCGGTAAATTAAAGTTAAAACCTCCAATCACGTATTGATAATGGATAAAGACAGACCTGTCACCTGTCAAACCTAAAAGTCGAAGTCTAATAAACAAGTTGTGACAGTTGTGGTGAAAACAGAAACTCTGCTATTGATGCTTGGAAAGCCATTTTCCTGCTAGAGCTGCACAACAGAAAGAAAAGCAGCATCTTTGGCTGCAGGGCAGGTTTGATAAACGGATCTTAAATCATGACCATGCCACGGGAGTTGAGTACAAACCCAATAAAACGTTTAGCACTAATTAAATAACCTAAAGTTAATTTCTTTAACAGAATCAAAGTATGTTTTAACTCTTATCTGAGCTAAAAATATTTAAAGCCAAACCAAAATTACACAGTTTTATTAAATCATGACAATCAAGTCTGTGCACATTATACACACGTCTAACTATTATGAGGCAGTCCATAGCAATGACCCAGACAAACAAAGACCTTGTCTGACCTTAACCTTGGAGCTGGGATGATTAAAAAAAAGTGTATGCAACACTTTGTCTGGTGAAGTTTTGTTAAATTACCTTGAGCGGATCAGAAGTTATAGGCAGGACAAGAGAAAGTTTGCGCATGCACGGACGGATGGCGACTATATCATAATACGTCTGCCTTTCAACAGGCGTATTATAAACATGGAGAGGATCATGGCCACCCACGCAACAAGAGGAAGAAAGACTTCAACATGTCAGGATGTGTAACATGAAGAGTCTTATTCAACTAATAAACTGCATTTCCAAGTGCATTAATGCAACATCCTGACAGAGGGAGGCTTTTAAACTTACTGCCCCCCTGTTTTACTATAATGTAGTTTTAGAGACAAAAACCCCCAAGACTCACATTTCCTTTAATGTCTACACTGATATATGACTGTTCGGCCTGCAGCACAGCACCATTGTACAAATGCCTTGTTTATGCCCATTAGTCACGTTAAGGTAGAGATACAGTGAGTTCATAAATCCTCTCTGTAAACCATTACATTCAGTAACAACTGGACCGTACTGATTATAATGAACATAGTAAATAACTGAGTGGTCAGCACCATAATCAAACCTCTATGAACTAAGAAGAGTAAAATGTGTTAAAAAGTGTCTTACTTGCAGCGCACATGAGGTCTTTGTGCAGATCGTAGGTCATGATAGGTTCAGATAAACTCCTGTGGGTGAACAGACATGAAGCAAAATATCAATTAGGGCAAAACAAAAAGCAGAAATCACCCCATCCTCTATAAGACTCATTTTTAGTGATAATTACACAAGAGGGTAAGGGCCATGGTGCAAAAACTGTTTTTTTTTTTTTTTTATCAATTCTGATTTGTTTTTTTTTCCCTCATAATTCTGAGATTAAAGTCAGAATTCATGGAAAAAAAAGTTAATTTTATTTATTTATTTGCTCAGTGGCCCTAATCCACTTCCAGTTACCGTATTTTTCGGACTACAAGGCGTATTTAAAAGCCTTTCATTTTCTCAAAAATCGACAGTGAGCCTTATACTCTGGTGCACCTTATGTATTAATTCTGGTTGTGCTTATTGACCTTGAACCGATTTTATGCACAGGGCGCTCAAAAATCTGTCAAAATGAACTTGTTTCGCTTCGTGCACCTTATTATCTAGTGCGCCTTATAGTCCGAAAAATACAGTAATACACAATACATTTTATTTTAATGAAGCAATTTTAACATTTTCAACTTTCTTATACACAAACTCATTTTTGTGTATGTGCACGCACACCTCAAGTAAAACTTCAGAGCACTTGTGATGGTTTTTTCATCCCAGTCGCTGGTGTTGAAATCCACATTTCCAGGATTTGTAGGATCTACAAAACAGCAAATAATTGTAATACTTGTAACAAATGGTTTGTGTGGGGTTTTTTATATCTAAGACATAAAAAATAATAAAAAGTACAACCCAAAGTAGCTGTAAAAAGGCATCTTTTCTACATTTTAAGCGCAGCTGGGACGTGAAGCCAGCTGAAACTTTATTTGTGTTGTGTTTTCTACTTTTTAAAGGAAGCTTTTTGGGTTTTCAGTCCTGACATTTTAATGTCTTCTTTGTTCTGTTTTCATTTTCATATTTGCTCCACAGCTACAGACAAGCAACAAGTACATTTTTTTTGGCACAGTATGTGTTGAATTATCTTCTTAAACAGTTTTAGAATCACTTCCAATGTTTCAAGTGAGAGCTCTCCCATGGGGGCTGTGCTTCACCATGCAGCTGCTGACGTTCCCTTAAACTGTAGACCCATTTGATTTTGATTAAACATCTGTGCGCTTGCTCCAACAACAAACTAGGTTCATTCGAGGCAATGCAGTCTCTGCTACTGTATCAACACGGTTTCATTTATTAATGATACAAATGTACCTTTTTGCTCGACTGACCATCAGAATCTCGGTCATAGATGTTAACGCTGAGGTTCAAAGTAAGGGAGGTTAAAAATATATTTCACTGTAGAGCTGATTCATCCAACAGTTTCATCCAACAGATTCATCCAGCCTGCTCTGGTGACATTTGAGGAGAGACATAAAACTGCATCGACCACCTGATCTCTCCCTTAGACAATGTTTGATTGATGATAAACAAGCGGCGCTTGTCCCCCATCGCTGAGGGATTTGAAGAGTGAATGTTTGTAGTTTTCAAGACGAGTGTTTTTCTGAACTGGAACTGAACAGAGATTGCAAGTAAACCTAAATGTTTTTATTGCATGATATTCAAGTGATTAGGAGCTACACTGTAGAAGAAGGAAGAGGTTTTTTTCTTGACCAAGTGGGCACAGTGACAGATCCTGGTGAGTGAACAAGCTATTTTATCCACTACCAGGTGCAATGGCGGTGGCAGGAGGTGGCCAATGGTGGCCTTGACCACCATCGATTAATCTTTGGCCACTACAAGCAGTTAAAGAAACTATGCTTTTAAGCAATTTAAAAAATCAAAAATCCTCCTGTCGAAAATACAGGACAGGAGGCGAGCGGCATTGTCTGCGCATTTGAAGGATCACTGCATATTTTTCAACCCGCCTGACAAAGAGTGACTGTAAAACTGTTAACTAAATAAAACTATAATTTGAAACAAAGCTTCCTAATATCACATCAGAGCTGGTTTTGTCTTGAACTTTTTTTGAATTCACATCAGAGCTGTTCCTTCGCATTTCTGCTTCTGCTCTTAAAAAAAAAATAATCTCCGCCCCTAAAAGTTCAAAGTCATGGGCAATTTTATTAAAAAACACAAATATAATTAAAGTTTTGTACTGTGCATAAGTTCTTGCGCTTTTGTGAACAATCTGATGTGTGAATCACTGCGGAGCAGGGAGGAGGATGACGAGGCTCAGCTGACCCCGGTGTGGGATCTACTAATTAAATGAGAAATGATCCTGCACTTAATACACTTATAAATCACACATAAAGTGATTAAAAGTAAATTTGAAGTACAGGTGCTGGTCATAAAATTAAAATATTGTGAAAAAGTTTATTTATTTCAGTAATTCCATTCAAAAAGTGAAACTTGTATATTCATTCATTACACACAGACTGATATTTTCTAATGTTCGTTTCTTTTAATGTTGATGATTATAACTGACAAATCAGCAAATTCAATTTGTCCTGAAGAGGTGCAGCGGCTGTGCAGTCAAATTCCCTCTCTGGGGTAGGACCCTCAGACCCCCCCCCCCCCAGTCTGTGAAAATATAGTCTGACATTAAACCAGTTCATGGTGCAATAAAGGTTGGGGACCACTGCCCTAGATGCAGCCACACACCAAAAATGGAAGATGACATGTTGCTTATTTGTTTAATTCTGCAACTCACAAAGTTAACATACCAGTATGTACAATATGGTGGCAGACATTTTGGATTTTGACGTGACAACCCAGTTTTCGAAAGGAGCCTTTCTTACACCTAGCTGCAGCCACACATTAACATAGAAGTTGGTATCTCACACATTTTTCACGTTATCATACTTAGAACATGCACAAATGGACAAATGGATGTAGGGTATTTCCAACTTCCTCCTCTTCAATTTGCGACGGGGGACCAAAAAAAAAACACGGTAATTTAAAGGGAGCTGTAAATGCAAATATAGAAATGTATCCCCTTGCATTACAGTTTCTATGACCAAACTTCAAAAATGACCCAAAACTTCTGACTAATGTAATTTTCAAATTAAAAGAGAGGCATCTTTATGACAATTTCCTCTGCCTCACTTTGGTCCCCTCACGCTCATATATCCCCCATCAAATTTACACCTGAGCGCTACAAGAAGATGCAGATCTACTTCTGTGGTACGTCACGGTATAATGAGGGAAACACATAAAGAACATGTTTACCGACCCACTTCCTTACCAAAAAAGGCGTTTAGGAGCTTCTGCACTTGGATGTTGCTGCCAACGGTTCGGTACACTCCTTCTTGTGAGACTCCTGGAGGATGAAAAAGGAAGGAGGTTGAAGAAAATGAAAAAAGAAGAAAAGGAGGGGTTGTACTTTAGACTAATAATACTGTACACAGTAGAAACGCACCACATGCTTCTCTTAAGACGTAAAAGGAGACAGAATTAAAATGTTCTTTCCTCAATTTCCACTGCTGTTAGAAGCTGTTAGTGTCACATTACATGCTCATGTTTTGGGCTTTAAATTTTGCCTGCGACATAAGACAAATAGTAACATGAGAGTCATGTGGCTGCAGAGCTTTTATCAATAAAGCTGCACAAGTTTGGGTTTGTAGGTTGAAGATGTGTTTTTAGTAAACCGAGAAAACGGAGTGAGATGTCGAAAATCCGTTACACTCTAATATATTTATATTTATTACTGTTTTATTCTAAATGATGGATTTTTCCCTCGAGAGCAGCCAGCCGAAGAAACATGCGACTCAACTACGCCCCCACCAGGCCAGTAAGAGGATTACAAACTAAACCACTGACCTTTTGTTTCAATGTAGTTGATGCACTTCCTCACAAACCTGAACCCGATTTCATTCAGTTCCACTGTGGAAAAAAAAAAAAGGGCAAAAGAAATGAGTCCACCTTACAGAAAAAAATGTGTTTTATCCCAACTTCGCATGATGACAGACTTACTTTCAGCTTGCTTGTGAATTGGGGAGTGATAAATCTGAAATGAAAAAAAAAAAGTAAAAGGAAAGAGGAGACGGTGGAGCATGTGGAAAAATATTCCACGGTGATTAATGGTCATGTCTTTCTTTTAATGGTGGGGGGGCAAGGAAAAAGAAGCTTGATCATAGCTCATGGCAACATATTTAATCCACAGGATTCAAGCTTCCAAGAAGGATCATAAGCAAATGAGAGTGCAGATTTCCAGTTCTGGGTAAATGCATGAGCAGATTTAAAATATATAAACCAAAAAAATATAACTTTAAAGGAGGGAAAATATGATGCATTTAATTCATGGACAATTTGGCAAACGGGAATGTAAAACTCAGAGACCCTGTCGTTATCAAACGAGCTGTTTTACATCAAAGCTTTAATTCTCGTTCTGAAATAACTCGACTCCAGAGCAGCTGGAGACACCAGGGTCTTGTTCAGGGACTGCTCCGCAACAGGTAGCTTTAATTCAAACAGATGCAAAAGTATGAAATATCACAGTCACACCACGCTATGGATTTTAAACACTTAAGTCTCCGGAGCAAAGCGTGTAATTTCTCAGCGTCATTTGAGCACTGTGATTCAGGACGAATCAAATGTACGCGTGATCATTTAACGGCAAAGCCAAAGAGATTAATCACCAACAGTTAAAACTAAGATTTCATTTGCCAACGCTTGAATGATCGGTTTCAAGTCTGTGGCTGCAGGGGAAAATAAATAACTAAATAAAAGTGCCAAACGATCCTGTTGCTGCAGAAGCTCTGGGGGAGTACGTGCAGGATTTTCCCTCCTTCTGCCAAATGCTTTTAAAAAGTTTTGAAGTGAGGAATAACTTGTTATTTTGGGACATAAAGTCAAGCTTGTCAACTTCTTGGGCTTGAAATGTGCAAAAACAAAACAAAAAAAAGCCAAGGCGTTCACAGGAACAGTAACTCATCCATCTAGATCAGCTTCCAAATTTTCTGAGCACTTTGATATTTTCACACACAGGGTAACAGAATCCACTGTCATCTCAGTTTGGCTTTTTATTACCAAAATTTAAAAAAAATGGCAAAAACTAACAATGGGAGTAAGTCAAGAATGCTTTTGTTCCATTTATCACGCTGCTTGTGGCAGACGTTCAGAGTCCCCGCAGCGCCGAGGAGCTTTAGCTGGGATTTATGGGGGAATCTGTGAGGAAAGACTCCGCTAAACTTTCAGAACGTGAAGAAACTGGTGAGGAAGTGGAACAGGAAGATGGCACTAAAAGTGTGCCATGCGTTACTTTCACTTCCTCTATTTGTTTCGTTCACACCATCCAGATACAGCTGACTGACCTAATCTAAAAAAATAAAACCATTTATTTTACAAGTAAAGCTGTGTGGTCTGTCTGCTCCAACACGATGTGAACAGAAACTGGTCAGAGCAGTAAATTGTCCGTTTATGCAGGAACGGTTCCATTAACATGATTAGTTAATAGCTGTAAAAGGCTATTAACTAACCCGCAGCCACACTGCATGCAAATACCTTCATGTGCTCTAAAAGCTTCACGCACAAAAAAAAAAAACCTCACATTACCTACAACTCTGGAGCTTTTACTTAAATGCCAAATTTCAGCTTCCAGCTGTGATACAGTCACACCTACACAAATGTATTGTCCCCTCTTGTGGTGTATTTCCTAACTGGGGAAGATTATTCTTTAAAAAGATAAAATTAACTTTAATTTTATTAAACATCTGCATATTAAAAAAAATAAAAAGCTTAAACCAAATAAAAGCTGTGGCTCCACATTAAACACTTAGAGAAGTAAAACTCACAGGCTCTTTTCCATCCATGGCCTCCATCCACAACTTCCTGTCGCCCTCCGAAAGGGCCTGGAAAGTGACGGGCACGTTTCTATGGAAACAGCAACAAAAGCCATTTAAAAAAAAAAAAGCAAAGGTTGTTGTTTAATTATTCAGCTGAAGGATGCAACAGCTAACCACAGTGAGCAGCTTTATTAAACTCACAAATCGCTCTATTTTTTTAAAGCCAAAGGTAGACAAAGTGACAAAAAGCTCCACCCCCCCCCTCAGGAGGAAAAGTCTTTGAAGTGTTCAGCAACATCCCGTGAGGCGGTGACAGTCGCGAAACGGGACAAACACGAGAAGCTTGAAGAAATGATGAAAACCGACTTCTCCTGCAGAAACAACATGAGCAGGTGCCAGCTTGTACAGCTTGTAGGCTGGTGAATTGTTAACTACAACAACTGTGCTTTCAGATTAACGCCTGTTTAACCAACTCCTCTGATCAAAACGAAAACCCTTCAAAGAAAAAGGTTTTAATACTTTAAGGTACAGCCAACTCTCCAAGTTAAGCAGATGTCACATTTTTCATACAGGTACTCATAATTTGACCTCTTTAAAGTCTTATAGCTTAATATAAATCAGCCAATCTGGAAGGAAAATAATTTTTCTTTGTATTATTATTATTATCCCATTTTATTCCCTCTTATTAAACTGTCTGTACGCGCATCAGGATTATTTCAGGCGTCGCCTTTAACCCCCTCCTGAGCAGACAGCTTCTCGATCTACATTAGACAGCACTGCCACCTTGAGTTTACCAGTTGAGCATGTTCATATTACATCACTCATGCTGCTTTTATCCTTTAAAAACTCTGTCCACACTCGTGTTTACGCAGATTACAAGAAAAAGGAAAAACCCTGCAAGGTAGCTGAGAAACTCACAGATAAATAAGGTTTTTTTTGTTCCAAATGGCCTGCTTATATAAATATGAGCTTGTTGTGTTCCTTCCCCCACCCCCCTGAAATCCCAGAGTCTGCCATCTGTCTCCAGTGCCAGCCCCACTGCTCAGGGATTGTTTGGGCTATGGTCCATTTAGCCTTCACACTCCGTCCTTGTAAACCACCTGTTCACCTCGTCGCCCAAACCGCTTCGTCCCAGAAGGCTTTATCGTTGCCTCATCGCACGGGTTCTCAGGTTTTGTTTGTGCTAACCTCTCCACAGTTTCCACGTCAAAGCAGAAGCGCTTGTCGATGGACTCAGTCTTCCTCCGAACGCAAGATTTCAGATTGAGAACCGTAGGAGCCTGGAAAAATCAGAGAAAGAACGTGATGAAGCCAAAAACATTTGAACCAGCAGACTGAGTGAGTTAAATAGACACAAAGCACATTATATATATACAGTACATATATATATATACACAGTACATAAATATATATTTATATAGATATATATATATATGTGTGTATATATATCTATATGTACATACACATATATATATTTAAATATGCATATATACATATACATACATATATATATATATTTAAATATACATGTATACATATACATACATATATATATATATATTTAAATATACATATATACATATACATACATATA